CCTCTTGAAGTGCCATGGAGTTTGGGGGATTTGTTGTTCCTTTTTGTTGTACTGTGATGTGTGAGTGACACCTTACTTTTACACAATGTAAATGGCCCTTTCATATTCAAGAAGTGTAATTCCTATTTTAATATAAATTAAATAAAGTAAACTAAGATACATTTCGAAATTGTGTACCAAAGCCACGTGTTTGTAAGCCAAACCTCTGTGTACACTCCCTCCGTATTTATTTTGACTGGGAAGCTAAAATGTGTACACTTGTCTCCATACTCCAGCATTCTGGATTTGAGATCAAATGTTTCATATGAGGCGGCAATACAAAATGTCCCCTTTTATTTGAGGGTATTTTCATATATACAGTTGAAGTCGGAAGTTTACATACACTTAGGTTGGAGTCATTAAAACATGTTTTTCAACCACTCCACAAATTTCTTGTTAACAAACTATAGTTTTGGCAAGTCGGTTAGGACATCTACTTTGTGCATGACCCGAGTAATTTTTCCAACAATTGTTTACAGACAGATTATTTCACTTATAATTCACTGTATCACAATTCCAGTGGGTCAGAAGTTTACATACTGTACACTAAGTTGACTGTGCCTTTAAACAGCTTGGAAAATTCCAGAAAATGATGTCATGGCTTTAGAAGCTTCTGATAGGCTAATTGACATCATTTGAGTCAATTGGAGGTGTACCTGTGGATGTATTTAAATGGGAAAATCTAAAGGAATCAGCCAAGACCTCAGAAAAAAATGGTAGACCTCCACAAGTCTGGTTCATCCTTGGGAGCAATTTCCAAACACCTGAAGGTACCACGTTCATCTGTACAAACAATAGTACGCATGTATAAACACCATGGGACCACGCAGCCATCATACCGCTCAGGAAGGAGACACGTTCTGTCTCCTAGAGATGAACATACCTTGGTGTGAAAAGTGCAAATCAATCCCAGAACAACAGCAAAGGACCTTGTGAAGATGCTGGAGGAAACAGGTACAAAAGTATCTACATCCACAGTAAAACGAGTCCTATATCGACATAACCTGAAAGGCCACTCAGCAAGGAAGAAGCCACTGCTCCAAAACCGCCATAAAAAAGCCAGACTACGGTTTGCAACTGCACATAGGGACAAAGATCGTACTTTTTGGAGAACTGTCCTCTGGTCTGATGAAACAAAAATAGAACTGTTTGGCCACAATGACCATTGTTATGTTTGGAGGAAAAAGGGGGTCCTTGCAAGCCGAAGAACACCATCCCAACCGTGAAGCACGGGGGTGGCCGCATCATGCTGTGGGGGTGCTTTGCTGCAGGAGGGACTGGTGTACTTCACAAAATAGATTGCATCATGAGGAAGGAAAATGATGTGGATATATTGAAGCAACATCTCAAGACATCAGTCAGGAAGTTAAAGCTTGGTCGCAAATGGGTCTTCCAAATGGACAATGACCCCAAGCATACTTCCAAGGTTGTGGCAAAATGGCTTAAGGACAACAAAGTGAAGGTATTGGAGTGGCCATCACAAAGCCCTGACCTCAATCCTATAGAACATTTGTGGGCAGAACTGAAAAAGCGTGTGCGAGCAAGGAGGCCTACAGACCTGACTCAGTTACACCAGCTCTGTCAGGAGGAATGGGAAAAAAATTCACCCAACTTATTGTGGGAAGCTTGTGGAAGGCTACCCGAAATGTTTGACCCAAGTTAAACAATTTAAAGGCAATGCTACCAAATACTAATTGAGTGTATGTAAACTTCTGACCCACTGGGAATGTGATGAAAGAACTAAAAGCTGATATAAATAATTCTCTCTAATATTATTCTGATATTTCACATTCTTAAAATAAAGTGGTGATCCTAACTGACCTAAGACAGGGATTTTTTACTAGGATTAAATGTCAGAAATTGTGAAAAACTGAGTTTAAATGTATTTGGCTAAGGTGTATGTAAACTTCCGACTTCAACTGTATCTGTTTTACTGTTTAGAAATGAAAGCACTTTATGTACTGTATCTAGTCCCTCAATTGAAAGATTTGTTTTCATAAGTATTTGGACAAATTCACATATAGTGTATTAAAGTAGTCAAAAGTTTAATGTTTGGTCCCATATTCCTAGCACGCAATGACTACATCACGCTTGTGACTCTACACAATGGATGCATTTGCAGTTTGTTTTGGTTTTGTGTGTTTCAGATTATGTTTTGCCAAGTAGTAACTGAATGGTGAACAATGTATTGTATAATTTTGGAGTTACTTTTATTGTAAATAAGAATAGAAGATGTTTCTCTACACTTCTATATTAATGTGGATGCTACCGTGATTATGTATAATCGTGAATGAATCATGAATAATGATAAGTGAGAAAGTTACAGAGGAACAAGATCATATTGCCCCAAAAATGCTAACCTCCCCTGTTATTGGTATTGGTGAGAGGTTGGCATTCTTTTTTTCTTGGGGGGGGGGATCTTTGTTTCTTCTGACTTATCATTATTCACAATTCATAATCATGGTATCATCCACAATATAGTCCAAGTACTGGAGAAATAAAAAATAAAATGGGGGAGACTAGAAACATAAAATGCTTTTATTTCTAAACGGTAAAACAGATATGTATGAAAATACCCTCAAATAAAAGGTGACATTCTGTACTGTCGCCTTGCCTCATATGAAGATCTCAAATCCAAAATGCTGGAGAGCCAAAGGTACAAATGTTTGCTTCACTGTCCAAATAAATACAGAGGGGTGTATATTTTGCTGTAGGGGTCTATTTAGGGATGTGTCTCTCTGCTGGTATAATCACTATGACAGGGGTGAGGAAGGGTCAAGTGGTGTCAGGAGCTGCATCCTGACATTGCATTAACCCTAATCATTTACTTATTGATTTAACAGCAACTTGCATCCATGTTGACTGACTCCTCTCATTTAACATGGGTGAGTACGGACATGCACAAACTGGTTTGTTTGTTTGTGTGTGTGTGTTGGGGGGAAGGGGGAGTAACTGGTTACAAAATCAGCTTTCCTTATTTTGTAACCAGTTATCAGCTTTAAGAAAAGTTGATATTTTGTGATGGAAAGACATCATACTAGTGGTAAGATAGAGTTCTGAGATTCTGCAGCTGGACATTAGTAGTAACAATCCTATGACAGCACATTGGTACGAAGTTTGCTACTGCCCTCTTTTGGAGATGTGGTGATTGCCAGTGGTGTAGTCTTGAAGATCTGGCTCCTCCATTAGACCATTCCAGTATTTTTCACTAGCCTGCAACTACCACCTTTCTCATATAGAGCAAGTGTATTCTATGTTACAAAGACTTCAATATTACTTGTATATTTTGTGTTCTTCCTCTCTCTTTATCAGACTTACAGTATAAACACAGTGATGTACAGACCTTGTACTAACCATCATATGCCACAGGGTGGCAATAATTCCTTACAGATACTAAAGAAGTCTCAGAACTTCTGTCATTGGAATTTGCTGGGATGGTTGCGAAGCAAAAGCCATATACATTCACTGATATTCAAATTATAAACGATGAGCCAGATACAATGGATGGTGTATTCCTTCTCTCACCAATGCAAATTATGTCAACATCAAAATTATGTCAACAAGATTTTTTGCCATATTTGTACATTTGATGTAATTGGCTTCTAACATTTCAAAGCTTGTACAACATTGGCTGTGTCTTGTTTGTCCTTAATTCTGTTCCCAAAGACTTTAGCATATATTATTCTAAGAAAGATTGACACATACATCTTACCACTGATCCTCAATACAGATTCAGGCTAGATACAAAATGTGCATGGTTCTCCTCCTTTGCACAGTGTAGAATGATGATTACAGTAGGATGCAAAACACTCACCAATGACCTCACGGGAATGTCCGGTATAAAAGCCAAAGACAAGTTAATGACTGGAGATAATTGTATCTACTATCAGGGCCGGACAACCACATCTGGGGCCCCGGGGCATCTACCTCCAGGGGGCCTGCAATTCTACACATTTTAACATGGGGCAGACAATAGGCAGAATCTCAAATCAAATCAAATCAAATGTTATTGGCCACATGCGCCGAATACAACAGGTGCAGACATTACAGTGAAATGCTTACTTACAGCCCTTAACCAACAGTGCATTAATTTTTTTATAAAAAAGTAGAATAAAACAAAAAAGTGTTGAGAAAAAAAGAGCAGAAGTAAAATAAAATAACAGTAGGGAGGCTATATATACAGGGGGTACCGGTGCAGAGTCAATGTGCGGGGGCACCGGCTAGTTGAGGTAGTTGAAGTAATATGTACATGTGGGTAGAGTTAAAGTGACTATGCATAAATAATTAACAGAGTAGCAGCAGCATAAAAAGATGGGGTGGGGGGGGGCAGTGCAAATAGTCCGGGTAGCCATGATTAGCTGTTTAGGAGTCTTATGGCTTGGGGGTAGAAGCTGTTGAGAAGTCTTTTACACACCCAAAGCATATTTGGTGCTGGAGGTAAAAGGCAAAACTGGAAAAGGTCTCTGCACACTTCCAGTCAGATGCAAATTTATTTTAATTATAGCTGAGCAAACAATAGTGGGACAGATAAGGTCACACAGCGAGCCAGAGGTAATTGCAGACACCTGTGGTAATCTCAAGTACCCAGAACGGCCACTAGATGTCATAATATTAGATATAAATATAGGCTAGAACAGACCATGTTTTAGATGTATTTCTACTAGAACAAAACACATATACACAGGGAATGTGGTGTTAGTATAAGGACCCCATACTCTCAAAGAGAGCGCAATAAAGTAAAAAAATGGCAAAATAATTTTTTTATATATACAACACTATATACTGTAGAACCAGGAGAAATCTAGAAAACAACTAGATAAAGGTAAAGGTTAAGGTAACCTGTCGGGGAAGTGTCAGGCCACTAGGGCCGTCATGAATACATGACACCCTAAAACCAGGGTGTGTTTGTGAAGCTAAGATGATGGCAATAGGAATTACAACATGACCCTCATGTCAAAATGCTAATTAGGTCCTAACAGCTGTAGGGTGCCTAAAGTATGAATCCAGACAAGTTCTCTCTGGCAGAGTTTACGGTCGTTGCCGCCTCCTCTTGGTGACACTTCCACCTTCTCAATGCCCTGGAATTGTAGAGAAGACACACTGTGAGAGCACTGGACAAAGTGACAAGCAACAGACACACTGTGAGAGCACTGGACAAAGTGATAAAGCAACAGACACACTGTGAGAGCACTGGACAAAGTGATAAAGCAACAGACACTGTGAGAGCACTGGACAAAGTGACAAGCAACAGACACACTGTGAGAGCACTGGACAAAGTGACAAGCAACATACACACTGTGAGAGCACTAGACAAAGTGACAAGCAACAGACACACTGTGAGAGCACTGGACAATGTGATAAAGCAACAGACACTCAGTGAGAGCACTGGACAAAGTGACAAGCAACAGACACACTGTGAGAGCACTGGACAAAGTGACAAGCAACATACACACTGTGAGAGCACTGGACAAAGTGACAAGCAACAGACACACTGTGAGAGCACTGAACAAAGTGACAAGCAGCAGACACACTGTGAGAGCACTGGACAAAGTGATAAAGCAACATACACACTGTGAGAGCACTGGACAAAGTGACAAGCAACATACACACTGTGAGAGCACTAGACAAAGTGACAAGCAACAGACACACTGTGAGAGCACTGGACAAAGTGACAAGCAACAGACACACTGTGAGCACTAGTCAAAGTGACAAGCAACAGATACACTGAGAGCAATTGACAAAGTGACAAGCAACAGACACACTGTGAGAGCACTGAACAAAGTGACAAGCAACAGACACACTGTGAGAGCACTGGACAAAGTGATAAAGCAACATACACACTGTGAGAGCACTGGACAAAGTGACAAGCAACATACACACTGTGAGAGCACTAGACAAAGTGACAAGCAACAGACACACTGTGAGAGCACTGGACAAAGTGACAAGCAACAGACACACTGTGAGCACTAGTCAAAGTGACAAGCAACAGATACACTGAGAGCAATTGACAAAGTGACAAGCAACAGACACACTGTGAGAGCACTGAACAAAGTGACAAGCAACAGACACACTGTGAGAGCACTGGACAAAGTGATAAAGCAACAGACACTGTGAGAGCACTGGACAAAGTGACAAGCAACAGACACACTGAGAGCACTTGACAAAGTGACAAGCAACAGAAACATTTTCATCCTTAGAACTCTTATAGAACTCTTATGTTCGCTTATTCTCTGTTTCAAGCTTCTGGATGTCTTGCCCACGTACATGTTGTCACAAACACAATGTAGGATGTAAATCACGTTTTTTGTGTTGCATGTGATCACACCTTTAACACTGTATCTTTTTTCAGACCTAGGGTGTCAGAACTCAGAGTTTTTTTTGGTGTTGTTGCACTGAGCACAATTGCCACATGGGTAGTTTCCATCTCTCAGGGGCATAAGGAGGGTTTGTTTAGCACCCATGTTGAGGCTGGCTTGGACTAGTCTACTGCGAAGATTGGGGCCCCGTTAATAGACGAATAAGGGGGGTCCTTGAATTCTTGGCTGAGCGTTGGGTCTGAAGTGAGCATATGCCAGTGTTTCATCACTATGTTTTTAATCATAAAGGCTTTGAGGGTGAATGTAGTAATGAAAAAAAAAGTGTTTCTGTCAGTCTCTTTATGATATAGAGTGGTCATAAGTTCCCCATTAGCAACCTCTATTCACATGTCCTTGAAATGGACCCTCTTATGGTCATATTCAATAGAGAACTTCAGGTCAGTGTTCAAACTGTTAAAAAAGGAAGTGCATACATGGAGTTCTTGTTCACTGTCAATCCACACACAGAGAATATCATCAATTTACCTGAACTATTTGAGGATCTTGGAAAAGTAAGGGTTCCTGGTCTCATCACAGATAAACTTGTGCTCAAAATAGCCCACATATAAATGTGCATAATTAGGGGCAAAGGTGGAGTCCATAGCAACTCCACTAATTTGAAGGAAAATGTGTTTTTCAAAGGCAAAGTAGTTGATCTTGAGAACTAAAGAAGCCAGTTCAAAGATGAATTCACTAGGTGGTGACATTTCTCTGTCACATTCCTGTAGGTAATATATCCCAGTGCATCTAGCCTTTTTCATGAGAGGTATTCGTGCAGACTGTAGAGGCTCTCTAGATCAAATGTAGCCAATATGATGTTGTCAGGGAGATTAGACATTTTATGATATTTTGTTAATCACATCTGTAGAACCGTTGACAAATGCTGGGAGTTTTTGCACAATAGGCTTAATGAAAGAATCAACAAAGTTGGAGAGTGGCTCTAGAAGAGAGTCAGTACTGGCAACGATGGGTCTGCCCTTAGGTTTGTATAAGCTATTATGGATCTTAGGTAGTATATAGAAAACAGGTATGACAGGGAATTTGCAATGAATCAGATGTAGGGTAAGTTCTGAGTTTCCTATAGAAATGTTCATCATCAAGCTGGCGATAGGCCTCTGCCTTATACAGTAGTCTGATAAGCTGGACTATAGCTCCTCCCTTATCGGCAGGTTTAATGACAATCCTAGTATCTTTAGCAAGTTCCTGAATGGCTAGTCTTTCATCTCGGCTCACATTCTTTGGAGAATAAGTCAGTTTGGACTGAGAGAAGTTTAAAACATCCTGTTCCATAATTCTAAAGAAGGTGCAAATGGAAGGATTCGATACTTGAGGCATAAATATAATCTTGGGTTTGAACACAGGCATATTGGGTCTTTGTGTATCATTGGAGTCATTAGACCTGCCAAACGTGAATAAGTTAGATTTTTCAACAAAAAAAAGGCCAAAAGATCAGTCTTTATCTCAAAATAGTTACTTTCATATGTGGGGACAAAAGAGAGGCCTTTACTTAAGGCAGGCACCTATCAAATAGATTGATTACAGCATCCTCGCCTGTCGGCGGGTGAGAGGCCTGTTCCTAGGACTGTGGTTTCTTCTTGCCCCTACTCGTCTTCCTGTGCCCCATCTGCCGTTTTTTGATCGCTGGTGTCCACGGTCTTGGTGATAATAGCCGCTCTGATTAGAGTCTGAGTCACTTGGGAAGTCACTGTCGTCTGCAAAGTGCAATTGGTGGTGGGGATGGCCTCCCTCTGGTGGGTTATGTTGTTTCGTGGGGTCCTCATATGTCCACTTGTAGACTTGGTTAAGCTGGTAATCAGTTGTGTCCCGCTTATATTTCCTGAACTTTTGAGTCATTAGTCCTTCTTCAAATGTTTGAAGTGTCTGTTTAATGGAATCGTGGATTACAGTGAAATCATTTCCAAACTTCTGTTGCATCAGTCTTCTGGTTTGAAATGTCTTTGATGACGTACTCTTTCTGGCATGAGACCTCCTCATAAATTTAGAGCATCAGATCTAGGGAACATTTGTTGAGTATGTTGCAACACTTTTTGTTTAAATCTATGTTGTCTTTCCCAGGGGTTGGAGCTTTTTGGATGCCGAGTCCCTATGGAATGTGTTTATTACACCAATAGAAAAATGTGCAGGCTCACAGTGTGAAGCCAGTACTAGCTACTGTGGAGCCTCAGGCAGCTGCTGAGACCTGCCGGAGATGTTGTGGTGGCAGGAAGTCAGGAAGTCAGGAAGTCATTATCGTATCTGAAGATTATGTCTTTGTTAAATGTTTTTCATGACGGAATGGAATGTTGGTTGTTCAGGTCAGAGGGGGGAGGTTTTATGATGTTATTTGAAATGTGCCGCTTGGAGGGTGACGGCCGAGGGGAGACTGGTGATTGGCCAGAAGAAGGGAGTAGCCCCTCCCTTTGCATTGTTTATAAATAGGGGGTAAACGATTAGACGGCAGAACGACCATAGCAATCTGGGGAGTCGTTCTCCAGGCAACGCGTGTCTGTAATTTATGCTGTAACCTCGTGGTATGAATAAAAACTTCTGACACGATGCAGCATAACGGACTTTTTGTTGACAGCGATAATGGCCACCATTCATCATATACGACATAATCAAGTCGGGATGGACCTTACTGGAGAGCAGGTGGGTTAGCTGTAATCAACCTGTTGTGTTGGGTGTTATCAACCTGATTAACATCAAAGAGAGACTGGGAGAGACAGGGGTAGGACATGGTTTTACAGCAGGAAGACAGACCAACAGGAAGACCAGGAAACCCACTCTCTCACTCACTCTCTCTCTCTTTCTCTCTCTCTCGCTCTCATTGTTGTGTTAATTTTTTTTGCACTGGTAGACAATAAAAATACAAAAAATAAAACAGATCAGTATCTTTAGATCCTCATGGGAGTGTGACTTTGGGTGAGTACATTTATAAGAAGTGAGGGAATGCCTAACCAATAATGATGACTAACCAATCAGTCAACTCTCTGTAGCCTCAAAGTTTTGAAATACAATCACACGCCTCCTAAACTCCTCAGAATCAACAGCCTTCTGTACACTTTAGAATTGACATAACCACACATAGAACTTGTTAGAATGTACATAGCCTTCTGTTGTTTGATTAGACCAATTCCCTTTCCTTCTTTCAACATGTTGTTCAGAAAGTTCAGGTTACCTACCTACCCACAGGAGAGAAGGATTCTTACAGAGACTCCACCCACTTTACACTTTACATGGCCACTCCCCCTTTCTCAACTCCATATAAATGCACCTGTAGGTCAGTCTCAAGGTAGACTGAGCATTCTCCAGGATCCATTCTCCAGGATCCCTCTCTCCCTCTTTCTCTCACTGAAGAAAACAGAATCCAGGTACATGTTTTCATTTCATTGGTTCTATTTAGTAATATCTTACTGTGCACACTAATCAAATATAAAAAATATGAAAGATAAATACGTTTGTGTGAATAACTAATTAGATTTCATTTTCAAAACTTTAAATGTATAATTACTAAAATATTTTGAACTAATTTATAATATTTCAATGATCCATCTTACAGGTAATTTTTTTTGCCAATCTAGATATTTCATATGCCATTATTGCTTTGTTTCTGTACATTTCTCTACTCATCAAAACAAAGGAATGTTTTGTCATGGTGATGGTGGGAGTAATTATGTGACAGAGATGACAGAGAGAGGTTCACCAGCCCACTAATATCTACTGAACAGCCGAGTGGCTGTGTAGAATGTTTGTTTGACACTAAACAATACTAGGCTACTGCTTTCAATTTCTAGGTACGGCTCTGTTTTAGACAGAGCCTCCACATTTTACATTTTAGTCATTTAGCAGACGCTCTTATCCAGAGCGACTTACAGTTAGTGAATACATATTTTTTATACTGGCCCCCCGTGGGAATCGAACCCACAACCCTGGCGTTGCAAACGCAATGCTCTATCAACTGAGCTACATCCCTGCCGGCCATTCCCTCCCCTACCCTGGACGACGCTGGGCCAATTGTGCGCCGCCCATGAGTCTCCCGGTCGTGGCCGGCTGCGACAGAGCCTGGATTCGAACCAAGATCTCTAGTGGCACAGTTAGCACTGCGATGCAGTCATAACTCTGCCCTCGTGTTAGTTCTTGTTTTTGTGATTTTTCTTATTGGTTATTGACAAAGACCTACAAATACAGGAATATATTATCAACAATAACAATCAAAATAGTAATGTAAGATATGAGGGTTTTCTTCACAGTTCTTGGGAAGCTCTTCTGATAAGACTCCTGAACAGCTAATCATGGCTACCCGGACTATTTGCACTGCCCCCCCACCCCATCCTTTTTACGCTGCTGCTACTCTGTTAATTATTTATGCATAGTCACTTTAACTCTACCCACATGTACATATTACTCCAACTATCTCAACTAGCCGGTGCCCCCGCACATTGACCGGTACCCCCCTGTATATATAGCCTCCCTACTGTTATTTTATTTTACTTCTGCTCTTTTTTTCTCAACACTTTTTTTTGTTGTTGTTTTATTTTTACTTTTTTGTTAAAATAAATGCACTGTTGGTTAAGGGCTGTAAGTAAGCATTTCACTGTAATGTCTGCACCTGTTGTATTCGGCGCATGTGACCAATACAATTTGATTTGATTTGATTTGATAGGGGATGGGTCATTTACATGTTGATGATTGTACACTGAACTGGGATAAAGTAATGCTTGAGTGGAGCTCAGACAGTCTAGTAGATATAAAAGGCAGTCAACCATCAATGTTTATCAGTCTGTGGTTGACTTTTAGTTTGAATAGACAGCAATGTTGGGCTCATTCAAAACTGGCCCATAGGCTGTGTGTTCTTTTGGCTCCTGTATGGGTGCAAAATAACCGTTTTGGACCCTAGCCAAAGGTTTGTGTGCCTAAAATAATTATTTGAATGTTGTATGAAGAAATAATTGACTCAAAGCTATCACAAGTGACCTTGACTAATTTTGTCCTCAAATACAGTAATGATGATTTCCGTACCCATCAGATCAGACATGTTTCTGGAGGCCACATCTGTCATGTTTTCAAGTCTAGCCTACATCTCAGACTGAATGATATAGTGAAAGACCAAATCCTCCTCAGTTTAATACCAAGTTCGTGTTTGTATAATGTTATTAGCCTATACTGTATGCGTTTCAACCAAGTCTTCTTCCTCTTTGTCATCTCTCACACAGAGCCGTCATGTCTTCCAGTTTCTCTTTGCGGAGCTTCTCTGTGGGCCACCAGCCCTCCTTCTCCAGTTTATCTCTGAGAGACAGTGGCCGTGCCCGCTCCAGAGCCGCTGTGTCCTTTGCCGCGGCCAGCCCCCTGACCCGCTCTGCATCCGTCAGCCACGACCTGAACAGCCAGCCCGTCAACTTGAACCTCAATGGGCAGCTGGGTAACCATACCAATGAGAAGGAGGCCATGCAAGGCCTCAACAACCGCCTGGCCACTTACCTGGACAAGGTAGGCGGAAGGTAGCCTAGAGGTTAGAAAAGCTGGTCAGCAACCAAAAGGTTGTTGGTTCAAATCCCTGATCCGCTGGAAATCTGGTGGGAAGTGAGCTTGCAACCAGATAGTTACAGTATCAGTATCCTAGATGCCATTTCCTGCTGTTGTGCCCTTGAGCAAGGCACTTGCAGGTACTAAAAGATGATGGACAATAAACTCCTTCTTCTTCTTCTAAGGTGCGCTCACTGGAGAAGTCCAATGCAGATCTGGAGCTGAGGATCAAGCAGATAATGATTGAGCGCATCCCTAAAAGTCACGACTTCGAAACCATGATGGCCCAGGCCCACCAGGTGGAACAGGAGGTGGGTTCCCAATGTCCCTACGTTACCATGATCCCTCTTTCTCACCCCATGTAACTCCCCATGCCCTTATCTCACTTCTTGCAGCATGTTCAACGAGGACACACTGTGTCATAATATGGATATACACATTGTAAACATAGTATGTATAGTCACATAGTACACACTTGTGGCCATATACGTATGTGTTCTTCACACTCTCTTAAATAGGAGTTTAACATTAGCAAAAATTGACCCTTTTAGTTAACCTGCACTAGACTGACACACTAGACTGTTGGTTAAAGATTAGTCAAAATAAGGCCATGTAAAATTGAATGGTTACACGTGAATGAGAATGGAATGTGTTACCCAATTTCTCAAGGATGTACACCTACTCATTCAAGGGTTTTTCTTTATTTTGACTATTTTCTACATTGTAGAATAATAGTGAATACATCAAAGCTATGAAATAACACATATGGAATCATGTAGTAACCAAAAAAGTGTTAAACAAATCAAAATATATTTTATATTTGAGGTTCTTCAAAGTAGCCACCCTTTGCCTTGATGACAGCTTTGCACACCCTTGGCATTCTCTCAACCAGCTTCACCTAGAATGCTTTTCCAACGGTCTTGAAGGAGTTCCCACATATGCTGAGCACTTGTTGGCTGCTTTTCCTTCACTCTGCGGTCCAACTCATCCCAAACCATCTCAATTGGGTTGAGGTCGGGTGATTGTAGAGGCTAGGTCATCTGATGCAACTCCATCACTCTCCTTCTTGGTCAAACAGCCCTTACACAGCCTGGAGGTGTGATTTGGGTCATTGTCCTGTTAAAAAACGAATTATAGTCCCACTAAGCGTAAACCAGATGGGATGGTGTATCGCTGCAGAATGCTTCACGGTGGACTTATCAGACCAAAGGACAGATTTCCACCAGTCTAATGTCCATTGCTCGTGTTTCTTGGCCCAAGCAAGTCTCTTCTTCTTATTGGTGTCCATTAGTAGTGGTTTCTTTGCAGCAATTCGACCATGAAGGCCTGATTCACGCAGTCTCCTCTGAACAGTTGATGTTGAGATGTGTCTGTTACTTGAACTCTGTGAAGCATTTATCTGGGCTGCAATTTCTGAGGTTGGTAACTCTAATGAACTTATCCTCTGCAGCAGAGGTAACTCTGGTTCTTCCTTTCCTGTGGCGGTCCTCATGAGAGCCAGTTTCATCATAGCGCTTGATGGTTTTTGCGACTGCACTTGAAGAAATGTTCAAAGTTCTCAATGTTCTGAATTGACTGACCTTCATGTCTTAAAGTAATGATGGACTGTCGTTTCTCTTTGCTTATTTGAGCTATAAGGCAAGTACGGGAAACAATAGAACACAATGAAAAATCTGGGAAACCAGGCCTGCTATTCGTAGCTGACTTTGAAAATACTTTTGATAAAGTACGACTGGAGTTTATATAAACTCAGCAAAAAAAGAAACGTCCTCTCACTGTCAACTGCGTTTATTTTCAGCAAACTTAACATGTGTAACATTTTGAATGAACATAACAAGATTCAACAACTGAGACATAAACTGAACAAGTTCCACAGACATGTGACTAACAGAAATTGAATAATGTGTCCCTGAACAAAGGGGGGGTCAAAATCAAAAGTAACAGTCAGTATCTGGTGTGGCCACCAACTGCATTAGATACTGCAGGGCATCTCCTCCTCATGGACTGCACCATATTTGCCAGTTCTTGCTGTGAGATGTTACCCCACTCTTCCACCAAGGCACCTGCAAGTACCAGACATTTCTGGGGGGAATGGCCCTAGCCCTCACCCTCCGATCCAACAGGTCCTAGACGTGCTCACTGGGATTGAGATCCGGGCTCTTCGCTGGCCATGGCAGAACACTGACATTTCTGTCTTGCAGGAAATCACGCACAGAACGAACAGTATGGCTGGTGGCATTGTCATGCTGGAGGGTCATGTCAGGATGAGCCTGCAGGAAGGGTACCACATGAGGGAGGAGGATGTCTTCCCTGTAACACACAGCGTTGAGATTGCCTGCAATGACAACAAGCTCAGTCCGATGATGCTGTGACACACCGCCCCAGACCATGACGGACCCTCCACCACCAAATCGATCCCGCTCCAGAGTACAGGCTTCGGTGTAACGTTCATTCCTTCGACGATAAACAAGAATCTGACCATCACCCCTGGTGAGACAAAACCGCGACTCATCAGTGAAGAGCACTTTTTGCCAGTCCTGTCTGGTCCAGCGATAGTGGATTTGTGCCCATATGCGACGCTGTTGCCGGTGATGTCTGGTGAGGACCTGCCTTACAACAGGCCTACAAGCCCTCAGTCCAGCCTCTCTCAGCCTATTGCGGACAGTCTGAGCACTGATGGAGGGATTGTGCGTTCCTGGTGTAACTCGGGCAGTTGTTGTTGCCATCCTGTACCTGTCCCGCAGGTGTGATGTTCGGATGTACCGATCCTGTGCAAGTGTTGTTACACGTGGTCTGCCACTGCAAGGATGATCAGCTGTCTGTCCTGTCTCCCTGTGGCGCTGTCTTAGGCGTCTCACAGTACGGACATTGCAATTTATTGCCCTGGCCACATCTGCAGTCCTCATGCCTCCTTGCAGCATGCCTAAGGCACGTTCACGCAGATGAGCAGGGACCTTGGGCATCTTTCTTTTGGTGTTTTTCAGAGTCAGTAGAAAGGCCTCTTTAGTGTCCGAAGTTTTCATAACTGTGACCGTAATTGCCTACCATCTTTATACTGTTAGTGTCTTAACGACCGTTCCACAGGTGCATGTTCATTAATTGTTTATGGTTCATTGAACAAGCATGGGGAACAGTGATTAAACCCTTTACAATGAAGATCTGTGAAGTTACATGGATTTGTACGAATTATCTTTGAAAGACAGGATCCTAAAAAAGGTATGTTTCTTTTTTTGCTGAGTTTAGAATTATGTAGATATGTAAAAGTGAATGCTGCTTTTCTTAGGTGAGGAGGAAGACACTGGAGAACGCTCGCCTCATGCTGGAGATTGACAATGCTAAACTTGCAACTGATGACTTCAGGAACAAGTGAGTTTCAGGACTGGTTCCATGCACCTCTCTGTTTGTCATGTCTTTGCATCTTTGCTTCTGTTGTTCAGTACATCTGTAGCTCTGTTCAATTTCAGGTGAAGGCTACAAAGGTTAAAGCGCTTGAAGCAGGTTTGCAGGTGTATGTTTAGGCAAAGGCCTGTGTGTACTGTTGTGTATTTTGTAGTCTACAGGACATGTTGATTGGCACCACGCAAACATCACCTAGTAGGCAAATATTTGGGAATTTTTAAGTGTGACTGTATGTGTGTCAGTGTGTGCTTGTGAATATGCGTATGCAAGTGTCGATTAGTCCTGTGACTACATTCCCTTCCTCCCTCTTTCCCGCCCTCCTTCACCCCACCCCTTCTTTCAGGTTTACATTAAATGTTTCTATGTGTAATGAATACTTTGGAAGTCTTAGTCACCCAAGCTCTCACATTCTCTCACTTTACAATCTCTCACTTCTCAAACTCTCAATCTCTCACAATGTCTCACTTCTCAATCTCTCCCAAACTCTTCCCTCCCTCCCAGGTGGGAGACAGAGATGTGCATGTCCCAGTCTGTGGAGAGGGACTGCTTGGCCCTGAAGAAGGCCAAGGTGGACCATGAGCAGATCATCGTGTCCCTGAGAGGAGACCTGGACAGCCTGAAGGAAGAGCTCTACTTCCTCAAGAAGAACCATGAGGAGGTGAGAGGAGATAGCTCTGTAGATCTTCATTCATCCAAAAGCATATAAATAAAAAAGTAACACAAGAAAGAGGACAACTCCCCTAACGATGATGATATCCCAGCAGACAAAACTAGTTGAAGTTATGTCATCATTATGTAATTTTAACTAGTTTTGTCCACTGAGATAGTGGGGCCAGGTGTTCATCCTTAGCTTTGTGACCTGGCCTATCACTCAAACCCAGAGTTTTCCCTGGTCTCCTGGTATGAGGAGGTATTACTGACTGGAGAGAGACAAGGGTGTCCTCTGTCACCATTCCTCTTCTAGCTGGCCATTAGCTGGATAATCACAAAGACTACAGAATATAATAATTGGTCTGCGAGGGGAAGCAATGAAGGAGGAGAATAGAGTGGTCCTCTGTTCCTTTCTGCACTGGTGGTGGTATCACTCTGCATCCCCTGGGAAGCTGGGATGCACTAGAAAGCTTGGAACCTGCTCGGAGTCTGAAACTCAACACCGGAGGTCCCTTTGTGTTAAGTAACTTGAAGCCTGAGAGTAACTCAGGTCTTAGATTTTTTACTCAAGTCTCCATAGAGGCCCCTCTGATAACATCTTTGCTTCACTGGTTGCTCTGCTCTGAATAGGCACACTACAGACCTGTGTGAAGACATAAGTTACCTTATACTACTTGTCTGTGGCGAGGGGTAGAATGATCAAATCAAATCAAATCAAATCAAATTTTATTGGTCACATGCGCCGAATACAACAGGTGCAGACATTACAGTGAAATGCTTACTTACAGCCCTTAACCAACAGTGCATTTATTTTAAACAAAAAAGTAAGAATAAAACAACAACAAAAAAGTGTTGAGAAAAAAAGAGCAGAAGTAAAAAATAAAGTGACAGTAGGGAGGCTATATATACAATAGAATAAAGTGACAGTAGGGAGGCTATATATACAGGGGGGTACCGTTGCATAGTCAATGTGCGGGGGCACCGGCTAGTTGAGGTAGTTGAGGTAATATGTACATGTGGGTAGAGTTAAAGTGACTATGCATAAATACTTAACAGAGTAGCAGCAGCGTAAAAAGGATGGGGTGGGGGGGCAGTGCAAATAGTCCGGGTAGCCATGATTAGCTGTTCAGGAGTCTTATGGCTTGGGGGTAGAAGCTGTTGAGAAGTCTTTTGGACCTAGACTTGGCACTCCGGTACCGCTTGCCGTGCGGTAGCAGAGAGAACAGTCTATGACTAGGGTGACTGGAGTCTTTGACAATTTTGAGGGCCTTCCTCTGACACCGCCTGGTATAGAGGTCCTGGATGGCAGGGAGCTTTGCCCCAGTGATGTACTGGGCCGTACGCACTACCCTCTGTAGTGCCTTGCGGTCAGAGGCCAAGCAGTTGCCATACCAGGCGGTGATGCAACCAGTCAGGATGATGTGTGTGTGTGTGTGTGTGTGTGTGTGTGCGCGCGCATGTAAGTGTTTGTGCATGTAAGTGTGCGTAGGCTCAACCCTTCCTGTTTTCCTATGGTGTGTGTGCTTTAAGTCGATGACTGGCACCAGAAGTGCTGGGTGTGTTTGGAAAGCAGGGTGTGGTGCCAATGCAGTGGTACCATATGTTCTATCTATTAGGCTGTATGTGACACACAGAGAAAGGGCATAGTGAGAGGGAACAGTGATCAAGGCACACACTAGGAGTAACATGAGCTCAACTCCATCAAGTATTTATGGAGAGGATGTTAATAAAGAGGAGGGTCTCACCTTCTCTCTTGTGGGGTGTAGAATTCACTGGAGAACACACACTTCAGAGGACTAATACACGGACAGAGAATATTCATAAAAGCATGCAAACAATAACATGGAGAAAAACATGGTGGAAATTATGTTAGAAACTGAACACAAAGACAATCACGTAAGAGTTTCCATTTCCTGTCTTGCTTGCTCTTTGGGGGTCTACGCCAGGTTACTGTGAAGTACTTTGTGACAACTGATGTAATTGATTGATTAATTGATTGATTGATCATCTCTCTGAAGGAGGTGAAGTCTATGAAGGGCCATATTGCTGCTCAGACTGTTAACGTGGAGGTGGACTCAGGCCGTGGTGGACCTGAACTGGGCACAGTTATGTCAGAGCTCAGGACTCAGTACGAGGGTATCGTCAAGAAGAACAAGGACCAAGCTGAGCAGTGGTACCTCAAGAAGGTCAGTGGGGGACTGGCTGGCTGGGTGCATCACCATGCCAGAAACTAGCCACTAGTGTTTAGTCTCTCAGGGCTGATTATTTGTAACTTAAGAGGTGTGCGTGTGACTAGAATTTTCATGCAAATCTCCCATTGACGTTGCATGTGTATCTCAAGTTACGATTCAGGCGTATCATAGATATTATATCCAGGTGAACCCAGGTATTTGAACGCAGGTCTGGTATCTAGTAACATGGCCTACAGCGTTCAGGAACGTGTGTGTGTGTGTTACTGATCTCAGTAACACGGAGATGTGGTGCGTTCAGGAACGTGTGTGTGGTGTGTTACAGCTGGAGACCGTGCAGAACGAGGTGAAGGAGTCTAACGAGGCTCTGAGAGGAGCTCAGAGTGAGCTGGTAGACAGACGACGCTTCCTACAGACCCTGGAGGTAGAGCTGGAGAGTCTGCACAAACAGGTAGGAACTAGGAACCTTTCACCTGGGGATTGTGTTGTATTGGGGAACTTAGAATACGGTGTCACCTTAAGATAAAGCTGGAAAGTCTGCACAAACAGGAAGGAACTTTTCATCTGGGGGGTTGTGTTTCACTGGGGAACATAAATATACAGTGCCTTGCAAAAGTATTAATCCCCTTTGGTGTTTTTCCTATTTTGTTGCATTACAACCTGTAATTTAAATTGATTTTTATTTGGATTTCATGTAATGGACATACACAAAATAGTCCAAATTGGTGAGTGAAATGAAAAAGATTACTTGTTAAAAAGAACTATAAAAAATAAATAACGGAAAAGTGGTGCGTGCATATGTATTCACACCCTTTGCTATGAAGCCCCTAAATAAGATCTGGTACAACCAATTACCTTCAGAAGTCACATAATTAGTTAAATAAAGCCCCCTGTGTGCAATCTAAGTGTCACATGATCTGTCACATGATCTCAGTATATACAGTGGTGAGAGCAAGTATTTGATACACTGCCGATTTTGCAGGTTTTCCTACTTACAAAGCATATAGAGGTCTGTAATTTTTTATCATAGGTACACTTCAACTGTGAGAGACGGAATCTAAAACAAAAATCCAGAAAATCACATTGTATGATTTTTATGTAATTAATTTGCATTTTATTGCATGACATAAGTATTTGATACATCAGAAAAGCAGAACTTAATATTTGGTACAGAAACCTTTGTTTGCAATTACAGAGATCATACATTTCCTGTAGGTCTTGACCAGGTTTGCACACACTGCAGCAGGGATTTTGGCCCACTCCTCCATACAGACCTTCTCCAGATCCTTCAGGTTTCGGGGCTGTCGCTGGGCAATACGGACTTTCAGCTCCCTCCAAAGATTTTCTATTGGGTTCAGGTCTGGAGACTGGCTAGGCCACTCCAGGACTTTGAGATGCTTCTTACGGAGCCACTCCTTAGGTGCCCTGGCTGTGTGTTTCGGGTCGTTGTCATGCTGGAAGACCCAGCCACGACCCATCTTCAATGCTCTTACTGAGGGAAGGAGGTTGTTGGCCAAGATCTCGCGATACATGGCCCCATCCATCCTCCCGTCAATATGGTGCAGTCGTCCTGTCCCCTTTGCAGAAAAGCATCCCCAAAGAATGATGTTTCCACCTCCATGCTTCACAGTTGGGATGGTGTTCTTGGGGTTGTACTCATCCTTCTTCTTCCTCCAAACATGGCGAGTGGAGTTTAGACCAAAAAAAGCTATATTTTTGTCTCATCAGACCACATGGCCTTCTCCCATTCCTCCTCTGGATCATCCGGATGGTCATTGGCAAACTTCAGACGGGCCTGAACATGCGCTGGCTTGAGCAGGGGGACCTTGCGTGCGCTGCAGGATTTTAATCCATGACGGCATAATGTGTTACTAATGGTTTTCTTTGAGACTGTGGTCTCAGCTCTCTTCAGGTCATTGATCAGGTCCTGCCGTGTAGTTCTGGGCTGATCCCTCACCTTCCTCATGATCATTGATGCCCCACGAGGTGAGATCTTGCATGGAGCCCCAGACCGAGGGTGATTGACAGTCATCTTGAACTTCTTCCATTTTCTAATAATTGCGCCAACAGTTGTTGCCTTCTCACCAAGCTGCTTGCCTATTGTCCTGCAGCCCATCCCAGCCTTGTGCAGGTCTACAATTTTATCCCTGATGTCCTTACACAGCTCTCTGGTCTTGGACATTGTGGAGAGGTTGAAGTCTGTTTGATTGAGTGTGTGGACAGGTGTCTTTTATACAGGTAACGAGTTCAAACAGGTGCAGTTAATACAGGTAATGAGTGGAGAACAGAAGGGCTTCTTAAAGAAAAACTAACAGGTCTGTGAGAGATGGAATTCTTACTGGTTGGTAGGTGATCAAATACTTATGTCATGCAATAAAATGCAAATTAATTACTTAAAAATCATACAATGTGATTTTCTGGATTTTTGTTTTAGATTCCGTCTCTCACAGTTGAAGTGTACCTATGATAAAAAATTACAGACCTCTACATGCTTTGTAAGTAGGAAAACCTGCAAAATCAGCAGTGTATCAAATACTTGTTCTCCCCACTGTATATACACCTGTTCTGAAAGGCCCCAGAGTCTGCAACACCACTAAGCAAGGGGCACCACCAAGCAAGCGGCACCATGAAGACCAAGGAGCTCTCCAAACAGGTCAGGGACAAAGTTGTGGAGAAGTACAGATCAGGGTTGGGTTATAAAAAAATATCAGAAACTTTGAACATATTACAGAGCACCATTACATCCATTATTAAAAAATGGAAAGAATATGGCACCACAACAAACCTGCCAAGAGAGGGCCGCCCACCAAAACATTAATCAGAGAGGCAACAAAGAGACCAAAGATAACCCTGAAGGCGCTGCAAAGCTCCACAGCGGAGATTGGATTATCTGTCCATAGGGCCACTTTAAGCCGTACACTCCACAGAGCTGGGCTTTATGGAAGAGTGGCCAGAAAAAAAAACATGACTTAAAGAAAAAAATAAGCAAACACGTTTGGTGTTCGCCAAAAGGCATGTGGGAGACTCCCCAAACATATGGAAGAAGGTACTCTGGTCAGATGAGATGAAAATTGAGCTTTTTGGCCATCAAGGAAAACGCTATGTCTGGAGCAAACCCAACACCTCTCATCCCCCCGAGAACACCATCCCCACAGTGAAGCATGGTGGTGGCAGCATCATGCTGTGGGGATGTTTTTCATCGGCAGGGACTGGGAAACTGGTCAGAATTGAAGGAATTATGGATGGCGCTAAATACAGGGAAATTCTTGAGGGAAACCTGTTTCAGTCTTCCAGAGATTTGAGACTGGGACGGAGGTTCACCTTCCAGCAGGACATAGACCCTAAGCATACTGCCAAAGCAACAATCTAGTGGTTTAAGGGGAAACATTTAAATGTCTTGGAATGGCCTAGTCAACGCCCAGACCTCAATCCAATTGAGAATATGTGGTATGACTTAAAGATTACTGTACACCAGCGGAACCCATCCAACTTAAAGGAGCTGGAGCAGTTTTGCCTTGAAGAATGGGAAAAAATCCCAGTGGCTAGATGTGCCAAGCTTATAGAGACATACCCCAAGAGACTTTCAGCTGTAATTGCTGCAAAAGGTGGCTCTACAAAGTATTGACTTTGGGGGGGGGGGGGGGGGGGGGGGGGGGGGGGGGGGGGGGGGGGGGTTGGTGAATAGTTATGCATGCCCAAATGTTTTTGTTTCACAAAAAAAAATATTTTGTATCTTCAAAGTGGTAGGCATGTTGTGCAAATCAAATGATACAAACTCCCCAAAAATCAATTTTAATTCCAGGTTGTAAGGCAACAAAATAGGAAAAATGCCAAGGGGGATGAATACTTTCGCAAGCCACTGTACCATGCCACTCCAATCTACAGTCGAGAGCCTGTATGAGCACGTGACACACAGCAAGAAGTAACCTTTCCTCTGGGGGTTATGTTTCACTGGGGAACTGTAAAAATACAATGGCACTCAAATATACAGTATCACTAAGATCTCACCCTTTGTTCCCACCTATGTTAACCTTAACGTTGACAGCAAATATCACTCACCTCCCCTGACCTTGGGTCAGAGAAGGATTAGTGTTACATAACGATCCCTGAAATGCTGTAGCTCTCTAACAGTCATATTCAGAGGTCAACAAAGACCTTAGTTGAACAATGTGCATGTGGATGTTAACAACATCTCCCCCTCAGGTGGCAGCTCTGCAGGGTAACCTGAGTGAGACAGGTGAGAAGTACAGACTGGAGATGGAGCACCTGCAGGCCACGCTGTCCCAGCTGGAGGAGGACCTGTCTCAGCTGCGTCTGGACATGCAGGTACTTACTGGTAGCCCAGCGGCTAAGGAGGTGGACCTGTATATAGATTTATGTTGTTTACTGTAACAAAAGGACCAATAAAGTTGTATCGGGTATTGTGTTGTTTTGCAGCGCAACAAGACAGACTACGAACAGCTGCTCCGCATCAAGCAGAACCTGGAGATGGAGATTGCCACCTACAGAAGACTACTGGAGGGAGAGGAGACGTGAGTCACCATGATAATATATGCCATTTAGCAGACGTGTTTATCCAAAGTGACTTGCAGTTATGGGTGGGTACATTTTTTACATATGGGTGGTCCTGGGAATCGAACCCACTATCCTGGCATTGCTAGAGACCCATGCCCTATCAACTGCGCTACGGAACATGATTATGCTACAGTAAGAAGTAATTAAGGGATGCTTAGTGAGTACTGTATATCCAGGCTAGTTCTCCTCTCAAAGGACTACATTATCTGCTTTGTTGTGTTGAGTCTAACAAAGAATTGCTCTTTCCTGGTAAACCAGCCAATTGATGACCATACATGGTAACATCTTCAGGCTCTGCTGTAGCTGGCTGCAACCGGGAGACCAATGGGGCGGCGCACAATTGGCCCAGCGTCGTCCAGGGTAGGGGAGGGAATGGCCGGCAGGGAGGTAGCTCAGTTGGTAGAGCATGGCGTTTGCAACGCCAGGGTTGTGGGTTCGATTCCCACGGGGGGCCAGTATGAAAAAAATATGAATAATGTATGCACTAACTGTAAGTCGCTCTGGATAAGAGCGTCTGCTAAATAATGTAAATGTCAATGTAAAATCTTCTGCCTGTGACAATTTCCATGTTTCAGCCCAAGTAATTGTGCACGTTTTAACTCTAACCTTCTTCTTCCGTTATTCATGCAGGATTAAAGAAGTTCCCCCACCAAAAAGTGAGTATCATCAGTATATTAACTTCACTTTGCTTTACTCTCACTTCTTTAATTAACACAGGCTAACCTAAGCAAACATCAAAGCTTGGCATTACTCACTCAGCACACAGCAACACATTGATTGGTTGATTGCGGCTGTGACCGTTCACCTGGATGGCGAGGCCTTCTTTATCAGTGTGACATCAGGGAATTCCATCCATGGCGTGTGATAAGAATCCCCATTCATTCATGAACACGTCATTTAATTCTCACACAGAGAGACCTCAATTCACCTCAACCTCTCAAATGGACTGCATGGACCCACCCTGGTCACCCACTCTTTTGTTTATCTTTCTTTCTTATTTTCCCTCCTCCCTTTGCCCTTCTCCATCTCTCTATATGTACAGTGCCTTGAAAAAGTATTCATCCCCCTTTGCGTTTTTCCTATTTTGTTGCATTACAACCTGTAATTTAAATAGATTTTTATTTGGATTTCATGTAATGGACATACACAAAATAGTCCAAATTGGTGAAGTGGAATTTAAAAAATAACTTGTTTCAAAAAATTCAAAAGAATAAATAACGGAAAAGAGGTGCGTGCATATGTATTCACACCCTTTGTTATGAAGCCCCTAAATAAGATCTGATGCAACCAATTACATTCAGAAGTCACATAATTAGTTAAATAAAGTCCACCTGTGTGCAATCTAAGTGTCACATGATCTCAGTATATATACACCTGTTCTGATAGGCCCCAGAGTCTGCAACACCACTAAGCAAGGGGCACCACCAAGCAAGCGGCACCATGAAGACCAAAGAGCTCTCCAAACAGGTCAGGGACAAAGTTGTGGAGTAGTACAGATCAGGGTTGGGTTACAAAAAAATATCTGAAACTTTGAACATCCCACGGAGCACCATTACATCCATTATTAAAAAATTGAAAGAATATGGCACCACAACAAAAGACTTTCAGCTGTAATTGCTGCAAAAGGTGGCTCTACAAAGTATTTTATTTGGGGGGTTGGGGGTGAATAGTTATGCACGCTCAAGTTTTCAGTTTTTTTGTCTTATTTCTTGTTTGTTTCACAATAAAAAATATTTTGCATCTTCAAAGTGGTAGGCATGTTGTGTAAATCAAGTGATACAAACCCCCAAGAAATCTATTTTAATTCCAGGTTGTAAGGCAACAAAATAGGTAAAATGCCAAGGGGGGTGAATACTTTCGCAAGCCACTGTATATGACTTGTGTTTTATATGGGCATATATGGTAGAAACATATACAATATGCCCATATATACTTATATAGGTATCCACACATGCTGTATATAAGTACATGTAAGTACATATATGTTACATATACATTACCAGTCAAAAGTTTGGACACACCTACTCATTCAAGGGTATTTCTTTATTTTTACTATTTTCTACAATGTAGAATAATAGTGAATACATCAAAACTATGAAATAACAAATATTGAATCATGTAGCAACCAAAAAAGTGTTAAACAAAATATATTTGAGATTCTTCAAAGTAGCCACCCTTTGCCTTGATGACAGCTTTGCACACCCTTGGCAGTCTCTCAACCAGCTTCTTGAGGAATGCTTTTCCAACAGTCTTGAAGGAGTTCCCACATATGCTGAGCACTTGTTGGATGCTTTTCCTTCACTCTGCGGTCCAACTCATCCCAAATCATCTCAATTGGGTTTAGGTCGGGTGATTGTAGAGGCCAGGTCATCTGATGCAGCACTCCATCACTCTCTCATTGGTCAAATAACCCTTACACAGCCTGGAGGTGTGTTTGGGGTCATTGTCCTGTTGAAAAACAAATGATAGTCCCACTAAGCGCAAACCAGATAGGATGGCGTATCGGTGCGGAATGCTGTGATAGCCATGCAGGTTAAGTGTGCCTTGAATTTTAAATAAATCACAGACAGTGTCACCAGCAAAGCACCCCCACACCATCACTCCTCCTCCTCCATGCTTCACGGTGGGAACCACACATGTGGAGATCATTCATTCACCTACTTTGCGTCTCACAAAGACACGGCGGTTGGAACCAAATATCTCAAATTTGAACTAATCAGACCAAAGGACAGATTTCCACCGGTCTAATGTCCATTGGTCGTGTTTCTTGGCCCAAGCAAGTCTCTTCTTATTATTGGTGTCCTTTAGTAGTGGTTTCTTTGCAGCAATTCGACCATGACCTATTCACGCAGTCTCCTCTGAACAGTTGATGTTGAGATATGTCTGTTACTTGAACTCTGTGAAGCATTTATTTGGGCTGCAATTTCTGAGGCTGGTAACACTTTCAAAGTTTTTGACATTTTCTGGATTGACTGACCTTCATGTCTTAAAGTAATGAAGGACTGTCGTTTCTCTTTTTTTATTTGAGTTGTTCTTGCCATAATATGGACTTGGTCTTTTACCAAATAGGGCTGTCTTCTGTATACCCCCCCCCCACCTTGTCACAACACAACTGATTGGCTCAAACGCATTAAAGAAGGAAATAAATTCTACAAATTAACTTCTAACAAGGTACCCCTGTTAATTTAAATGCATTGCAGTTGACTACCTCATTACATTTACATTTACCTCATGAAGCTGGTTGAGAGAATGCCAAGAGTGTGCAAAGCTGTCATCAAGACAAAGGGTGGCTACTTTGAAGAATCTCAAATATAACATATATTTTGATTTGTTTAACACTTTTTTGGGCTCTACATGATTCCATATGTGTTATTTCATAGTTTTGATGTCTTCACTATTATTCTACATTGTAGAAAATAGTAAAAATAAAGAAAAACCCTGGAATGAGTAGGTGTGTCCAAACCTTTGACTGGTACTGTATGTTGAAAGGATTGGCCGTTTTCATATATGTGACATATTTCTGCCTTATATACACATATGTGCATATATGTATAATGCCTATATGCTCACATACAGTATGTGTGACACATGTCGTATTAAAATATTTATTACGTATATGTCCCATATGTCAATATGTGTTAACATATATGTTACGGGAGCATTATTGAAGTGACACTTGTATTCATGGTAATAAAACATTAGAACAAACGCCACAAAACACAAAACTTAATTTAAGCCTATTCATGTCATCAATTCTCAATTCAGCTGTTTTACTGTTTTTATATTTTCCTACTTTTCCCTTTGTTGCACCCGGTAAGGGCTTCATGACAGCATCTGTGGGGAAAAAGCAACAAATATAAGATAAACAGCCCATAGAACAGTTAGGGGTTCACCTTTATGTGAAAAGCTTATTAGATTTAGTTTAATAGGAAATCCTTGACCATTAATGCCCTATTTTAAATTATTGATTTGCAAATTCAATTAAGGGATAGTTAACCTTTTTACACCTTATAGTCAGTGAGATTAATCCTTATCCTGAAAGTAGTCCATGGGCCAGGAGAAACTGTAATCCATGATTCAGAGTTGTTTAAATATATCACGTTTCAGGAGAAGACCCAGATGCAGACAGTGTCGAAGTAACAAAAGTTTCTAACAAAAACAGGGGGCAGGCAAACGACAGGTCAAGGGCAGGCAGAGGTCAGTAATCCAGATCAGAACATTAAGTAGCCTCTTTTCACAGGCGATGTATCTCCGACACAACATCTGTTATCCTTACATGTGCATTCTGAGTTGGAGACCCCCCAAAAATGACTCAATGTGATTGGATCTTCTTCGAACTTGGAGACGAAATTCTATTGAGCCTGAGAAAGCTTCCACCTCACCCCCAAGGCCGAGCCCCTCCTAGCCATAATCTCAACAAAACGGAGCTGCTCTTCCTCCCGGGGAAGGCCTGCCCATTCCAAGACCTCGCCATCATGGTTGACCACTCCGCCCTCCAGACGTTATTTGGGACAGTAACGTTCGAGCCTGGGTGACTTTTGATCTGCAAAACATCAGTATTTCACTTAGATGCTGTAAAAAACTATAAAGTACTATAACTAAGTAAAGTAACATAATACATCCTCTGTATTTAAAATAGTCATACTAGCTAATATATTGACTTGTATTTAAAAAATATACCTTCTCAGCATTAATCTTAACCTCAGATGATATAAAAGTTAACAATCATGTACTATGTTTAAAGAAAAGGAAAACACTTACACTATATATACAAAAGTATCTGGACACCACTTCAAATGAGTGGATTCGGCTATTTCAGCCACACCCGTTGCTGACAGGTGTATAAAATCGAGCACACATATCCATGCAATCTCCATAGACACACATTGGCGGTAGAATGGCCTTACAGTAGAGCTCAGTGACATTCAACATGGCACCGAACAAGTCAGTTCGTCAAATTTCTGCCCTGCTAGAGCTGCCGCGGTCAACTGTTATTGTGAAGTGGAAACGTCTAGGAGCAACAACAGCTCAGCTGCGAAGTGTTCGGCCACACAAGCCCACAGAACGGGATCACCAAGTGCTAAAGCTTCATGAAATGGGTTTCCATGGCCAAGCAGCCACACACAAGCCTAAGATCACCATGCATAATGCCCAGCGTTGGCTGCAGTGATGTAAAGCTCGCCGCCATTGGACTCTGAAATAGTCTGAAGTGATGAATCACGCTTCACGATCTGGCAGTCCGACGGACGAATCTAGGTTTGGCGGATGCCAGGTAAATGCTACCTGCCCCAATGCATAGTGCCAACTGTAAAGTTCGGTAGAGGAGGAATGGTCTGGGGCTGTTTTTCATGGTTCGGGCTAGGCCCCTTAGTTCCAGTGAAGGGAAATCTTAACGCTACAGCATACGATGACATTATAGACAATTCCGTGCTTCCAACTTTGTGGCAACAGTTTGGGAAGGCCCTCGTGCACAAAGCGAGGTCCATACAGAAATATTTTTGGGAGATCGTTGTGGAAGAACTTGACTGGCCTGCACAGAGCCCTGACCTCAACCCCATCAAACATCTTTGGGATGAATTGGAACGCCGACTGCGAGCCAGGCCTAACTGCCCAACATCAGTGCCCGACCTCACTAATGCTCTTGTGGCTGAATGGAAGCAAGTCCCCACAGCAATGTTCCAACATCTAGTGGAAAGCATTCCCAGAAGAGTGGAGGCTGTTATAGCAGCAAAGGGGGGACCAACTCCATATTAATGCCCATGATTTTGGAATGAGATGTTCGACGAGCAGGTGTCCACATACTTTTGGTATTGTAGTGCATAAGGCCATATATTACTTTTCCGTATGGGACTGCTAAACTAACCCAAGATCAGCATCTAGGGGCAACTTTATCCTACACTGAGCTGTTACACAAGGAAACATCCCTAGGCTAGCGTGTGTAAAGACTGTTGGTGGTAGATGTAAAGAGCAAAGGTTAGGTACTCCAGGCCATTGGCTCGCTGACAAAGCGAACTGCTATTTACACTACAGGTTCAAAGTAGGTTCAGCGGCATTCCCTTATGTCAGAATAAAATGTACAACTTCGATTCTGTGCTGCTTCCACCACCCTGGCATCAAATCAAGGGCCGTGGCCACACACTAATGACAGTTTGTTTCATAAACCTGCAAACAAAGCAAACGCCCAAAACATATCTGTCCCTAGCAACTACAGTAGGTACAAATATACTGTAAGCCGTAATGTTGTAACTACGTCTTCATGTAAGCCTGCAACTCACTCAATCCCTTCGGTAACACTTTATTTGAAGGACTATGGACTCCATAACTCATTCATAAGCAGTAGGTAAGTCATCAACAGCAAGTTAGCAAGTTCATAGGCTGTGTTACAAACCAGAGCCTGTGTTACAGTATTAGTGTGACCCTGTGACATTCAGTAACCCATCTTCCTCTCCTGCTCATCCACTACCTCTCGTTGCATTGCAGAAGAGCCAGAGGTGTGGACCAGGAAGATAGTGAAGGTGGTGACACAGACCATGATCAACGGCAAGGTGGTGGATGAGTCCAGCGAGGTGGAGCAAATAGAAGAAGAAGTGAAGAAGAAGTGAGGTGGACATAATCATCTTCATCCTCCTCATCACTCCTAACACCTGACAAGCCTCCATCAGACACAAGGACCAGCCAACCCGCTGGCCATAAAGGGCTCACACTAACATGGATGTCTGTTTTATTCCCATCAGAGTCTTAGTCTTCCCTGTTTCTCTCTGGAGCATCCTGCATTACCTCATTCACATGTCTGGAGATAATGAGATATACTGTAAGTGAATGGGATGTCTACTACAGCATCCATTTTAAGAAGTCCCTCAGTTGTCAGATGAAACTCCCTCAGTTGTGTCCTGTCCTCTATCATGGTGGTTGTTTAATAGAAGGTTTTGCTTTGTGTATGAAACTATTTATTTATAGATTTAGGGAACAAGTAGTCCATACAGTAGATCTCTTTCACTTCAATTGCATTTATTCTGTTTTGTTTTCCGTCTGTTTGTATTCTATAAACTTCTGTAAGGACTGAAATAAAGGTTAGTCATTTAGTCAAAGTTGGTATCATTTTCTCTTTTTTGTTTTACCTCAAATACAGCTCACACAATCAATAAATATCTACCACACTGCAAGAGTAAAACAATAAAACACATCAAAACATACTCAAAACACATTCTATGCAAAACTATGAAGCTGCCCTGTCGACTACACAGCATGAGTATAATGGCATGTCAGTGCAGATAATTACGCCTGTTCATATGCGTGTATGATGACTGCTATGTAGGTAGGCATGTAGTCTACAACAATGCTAGGTTAGCTAGGTTATCTTTGTGTCTGACAGCTCTGATGAATGCTCCAGTCCTATTCATCAAGCATCGCAGTTAGCTAATCATACATTGTATGATGAAAGGTTGCATTGGAAAAACCATTCAGTGTTTCATCAGGTGTTTCCTCAGGTACATAGGGTGTGAGATATGAGACAGAGGTCAGGTGCCATCTAAATAAGATGTTTTACAAAAGGACTGACTGACAGACAGGCAGACAGACAGATAGACAGATGGCTTTTACTAAGTTCACAACCTCCACCAACTGAAAGTCAACTGAGTCAAAAAACTGTGTAAAGCTGAAATACATTGTACAAAATGTAAAACATCATGGTCTCCGGCTTCCCTTGCTGTTGCTACGCATACATAATGATATAACCGTTACCTGCAAAACCCATTATGCTGTCACCTTGGCATCAGTTACTGATGGTTAGTTAATCAGTGAAAAGCAAACAGTAGAAATGTGTGTAAATATGTGGTGGGAGAAGGCAATTGTATTCAAGTATGTGCTATGTAAGTATGTGTATTTGTATAAGTATTTGCAGTAAGTTTGTTTGCGTCTGGGTATGTGGGTTGGGTCTGTGTGTCCCTCCCTGCCTGTGTCTGTACATATGCTTGTATGGTCATGTATGTGTTTCTTCAAAGGCATACATCAAGTCGGGGGAGGGTTCCCAGTCAGACATTAAGCCCTTCTTGGGAGGTGATTGTCTCTATGGACACTAATCACTGTCACAATGAACAATTACTGGAAATATGAGTGTGTCTCCTGGGTCTCTTTCCTGCACTGTACCATTCTCAACCACCCACATCCCCACAGGCTGAGGAGACCAGGTTGTGTATGTGTGTGGGGGAGGGGACTTTCCCTCCGACACACCCTCTAAGCTCCCTCAAGACACACATCAGAAGAGTGGGCTGACGGATGAGGGTGGATGCCACACTATGGGCCCAGCCCAAAGTCTCTCCTTCTGTCCTTAGTAACGGACACTTTCAGAGATGTCAAACTCTTTTATTGGCATAGCTTGAGCTGAGGTAAACTGGGAGGCAGAGACTAGTGTGTCAGCTAGACATACTGCAGTACAGTATAGATTCCGTCCCACTCTCATCCATAAGTCTATGATTCCATCTCACACAGACAGACAGACAGGTGTGTTCCGGAAGGCATTATAAACATGTACACGCTACCTGGCTGTGTCACACACACCTGTCCTGGATAGACGCCTGATGCATCACGACAAAAGCCGCTGGGACCTTATTGACAAAACAGATGAAGCCCTGTGTAATGACTGTGTAATAATGTTTGGTAATGCCTGTAATTATCATTATAGTGGGGTTGAACAACACAAGTTAAGTTGCTCTGTCTGTCCATCTGTCCCTCCGTCCGTCCATCCGTCTGTCCGTCCATCCGTCTGCCACAGTGGCATTTCACCATGGGTCAGGAGGACTCAGTGGTTTGAGGCTATTGTTGTTTTATCAGTCGCTCCAGCCGACAAATTATAGTTATGAGAAATATCATTAAGATTCTTAATCTACAAGTCCCATGTCCCATGTGAAAGGGAAATAATGACTATAGCTAGGGCTGTTACGGTGACCGTATTACCGCCACACCGGCGGTCACGAGTCATGACGGCAGTCAAATTCCACGTGACCGTTTAGTCATGGTAAGTCAAGATTAAATCAAGAATAGTCTGATGGATGACAATATTAGCCCATCACTTGTGAATGATGCCCAGCTTGTGTGCAGTAAGGCAAGAAATAGCGCATTACTTTTTCTTTCGACTTTTTCAGATCATAGTCGCACACCTCATGTAGCCTAGCCCATAGGCCTATATGTTTTGATAAGGTTTGTATCATAGCTAAAGTGGCCAAATAACTTCTTAAAATTAAGCACATTAATCAGCTTTACAATGGATAGTAGGCTATAAGCAAAATGCAATCAATTAGCGGGAAAACACCATTCTCAAAAGTGCATGTAATGCTTTTATTATAAAGGTGCATTTTTATAATGAAAAAGATCTTCCCCAAACTTGAAACTCACGCGCTATGTATGTATGCCAAACTCACACGCTACGTATGTATGCCTAACTGGCATACATACAGTACCAGTCAAAAGTTTGGACAAACCTACTCATTCAAGAGTTTTTCTTTATTTTGACTATTTTCTACATTGTAGAATAATAGTGAAGACATCAAAACAACACATATGGAATCATGTAGAAACCAAAATAGTGTTAAACAAATCAAAATATATTTTATATTTGAGATTCTTCAAATAGCCACCCTTTGCCTTGATGACAGCTTTGCACACTCTTGGCATTCTCTCAACCAGCTTCACCTGGAATGCTTTTCCAACAGTCTTGAAGGAGTTCCCACATATGCTGAGCACTTGATGGCTGCTTTTCCTTCACTCTGCCATCCGACTCACTCCAAACCATCTCAATTTGACTGGTACTGTATGTATGACAGTTAGGCATACATACGTAGCGCGTGAGTTTGGCATACATACGTAGCGTGTGAGTTTCAAGTTTGGGGAAGATCATTTTCATCGTACAAATGCATTTTTAAAATAAAAAGCATTACATGCACTTTTGAGAATGGTGTTTTCCTGCTAATTGATTGCATTTTGGAATATTCACACTTATAGCCTACTGCCGTGTGTGAATTGCTGAGCTTATAATGTGAACAAATAGGCTAATAGTTTATTAACATTTTAAGCTAAACCTTCTGATCTGTTGCGCCAGACTCATTGCTTTAAAAGGTTTTTGGGATGCTAGGGGTTGTATTAATTTGGGATCTATCGCATCCCACAACTGTCCCAGAATATGTTTGGAATATTTGTTTCTCGCACAGAATAGGTCAACTTTTGTACTATGGGGGATAGTAGATTGACATAGGCTAGTGCTTTTGCTGTTCGTTAGGCGTACTCATCTTGTTGGCTGACGAAAAGTAAATGTGGACAGTTCATCCAACATCTTCAATATGCACCTTGGACGCCCGAGGTTGCGTCCCCGATGTGTCGGTCTTCACTTGTAGCCCGTGATAAGGACCCGATCATTGGCTAATAAAAATTGAGCTATATGAGAGCGCCGTGTGAGTGAGAGGTGCTTTGGAGCACGCAGCTGGGAGAAGGGAATTATAATTATTATATTCAGCTCAAGGGCATAATGGCCATAACGCCGCAAAAGGCATGGATTTATTTAGGGGGCATTACGGCCACACAAAGGGGAGGCCACTGGGAAATTTGCGGCGTTATCAAATTGTGAATGAGAGGCTGATAAAGTGTGTGCAAAACAAAGCAGAGCTCATGCCTATCATGCAACTTTTTCAAATCATCACTAGAATCGCATCATGCAACCTTAGAATGTATTAAAAATCAAAACATATAGCCCAATGTTTGTATCACAACTAAAGTCGCCCGGGACAGAGGGTGTGGCTCTCCATGCGGGATCTTCCCCTCCGCGAGGAGTCCAGGAAGCTGTCCTCCTGGTTCATCGGGCCATTCAGAGTGGTCCGGCGAGTCAACCCAGTGGCCTACCACCTGCAACTTCCCCCCACCATGCGGGTGCATCCCACGTTCCATGTTTCCCTCCTCAAGCCTGTCGCCACCTGTCCCCTGGCTCCCCCTCCTCGTCCTGTTCCCCTGCTGCGCCTCGTCGGAGGGCAGCTGGCTTTTACTGTGGACCGGATCCTGGACTGCCGGCGGGTGGGGAGGGGTCTCCAATTTCTGGTGGACTGGGAGGGTTATGGGCCGGAGGAGTGGTCCTGGGTGCCCAGCAGGGACATTCTGGACCCAGGGCTGATAACAACAATCCGTCGCCTCCGCCCGGAGGCGTTTGTCGGGGAACGGGGGGGGGGGGGGGGGGCACTGTTACAGGGGGGGGTCGCAGTTCCGGAGCGACCCCCTAGGTGTCATCCTCCGACAACCTTAGGCACCTCCTCACTCACAGTCGGGACTAATCATCATCCTATTGGTGTCACCTGTGTCTATCGGTTCACCTATGTATTACTTCCCTGAGTTCCCTTCCTCAGTTTTCTCTGCTAGTTTCTCTATGTCCAGCAGTACTACTCAGTGTCTGATCGGAGATCTATGTACAGGTACTTGAGAAGTGTTCTCCCTGTTTCGTTATTTGTTTCAGTTTTAGGTAGTATTTCGTATTTTGGCTGTCAGACAGTTTTTGGATACTTATTTGCTCCGCCTTTCTTTTATCGTGATTTTGTCTTTTGGTTTCGGGACCACCAGTAAAGATCCTTGTTTCCCCATCTCTGCCTACTGCCTAGTGTATATCCTGCACCAAACCTGGGTCTCACCTCACCCCAACCCTTACAACGCTATTATGTTCTTCTGAAATAGACTCCATGTTTCTTTAGACCTATCTAAAATAAATAATGGATTTATTGTGATGGTGTAGGCTATATTACATGGATTTGTTAGACTTTTTAAAATGTAGATGTTCCAAAGGTCTGCATCAATGGCTTGTAGGCTATGCGTGGAAGCCATAAGATGCTAAATGTGTTTATGTTAATTAACGGGCAGTGAGACCGGCAGTTATTTGCTTGACAATTACTGGCTGACAAAATGTAATGACTGCCACAGCCCTAACTATAGCTTGACTCAGCTTGTCAAAGCTGTAATGCTGACCAGACATTTCTTCTATACAACTCATCAGATGTTGCAGTAGAGGCATGGTGAAACACGTCGCTGCATGCTTTTTCCACAATGTTTCATACATGATAAA